GTCGGGCTACCGAAGCGGGGGTGCCATCCCCTCTGCGGAGGATCAAAATTGTGATGGCATGTCTTCGGATCATCCTCAGGGATGTTTCCCAGACCGTCGCCAATAGCCCATTGTGCAGCTCTAGTGCGACGTAAATGAACAAATCAATCAAATAAAGAGAAATTTATATGTCTTCTGAAAAAAAAAACATTTTATGCATAATTATGACAATGGAATAAAAAATTTCCTATTGGATGAGATTTTTCAATGTATATGAGATACTTTCCCGTCTCTGATTTCAAATCTGCAATTGAAGAATTTCTCCAAGCTACCGTTTTTCAATGATACTGTTAGACTATTTTTTGATGAATTGTGCACATTTAAAAATGTTAGAGATGACAGGGGGTCTCATAAGTGTTGCGACAAACTTATAGGAGAATTAGAGCGCATCATCAGTATAAAAATTACTTAAGAACTCATGCTATGAAATATCGTCGTACGCCTCTATGGGCGCTTTCTTATTACTACCTGTTTCTTCGTGTACTTTTGAACAGTTCATGGTAGGTAAGCGCCTGCAGCGTACAACAATTTCAATACAATTGCAATCCCGATAATGTGCTCTCTTTCCTAGAAGTTTGTAGGAGCATTTCCGTACCTTACTGTTATGTAACGCATTTTCAACGCATTTAAGTAACAACATTGACACTTTAAATACACGAGTTATAAAACTTAAACATTTTGCAAAAAAATAGACTAAAAATGTCATTTTTTGAAAAAATCTTTAGTTTTCACAGAAAAAAATAGTTCCCGATACACAATCCTCACACAATCAGGCAAGATTAAGTACTTCTGCAAATGCAACAAATGCTTTACTCCCCAGTGTAATTTATCCCTATTTTATTAATCCATTTCGTTATAAATAAAAACTACATTAACAGCTGAAAGTATTGTTAACATGTGACTTTTTAACATTAGAAAAAAAATTAACTAATTAACTTGCATGTGATAATATTCATATGATTCAACTTATACATTTTCTTCATTTGCCCCGCACGTGAAACTAAATTGATAAATATATTTGACAAAAAGAAAGTAAAAACAAAAATAATAAATTATATTTTCATAAAATATAGTAAAATTGTATCTAAACTTACAAGGTATAGATACAATTATTTTTATATGTTGACACTGTAAATGTCAATATATAAAAATAATTTTATTCACATTCATAAAAATCTGCATAAAATAATTTCTAGTTATCATTCTTGCGGGAAATTTTCTTTATGGAATTTTACTACAAACTAAAGCTAATTTTTAAAGCTCTTCGGCACATAAAAAACCCTTTTGTCAGCGAGACTTTCGCTGAATCATCATTAAAAACAAAAAAAAAGCTCTAAAGAAAAAAAAAAACAGAATTAAAAAGTGTTTTTCGGGTGAATAGTTTGATGTGGATTTATGCTTTCCAGTGTAGCCTTATAAATTACGATTAAAAAAATTTTAAAAGAGGAAATTAAGAATTTTTTTTTATTTATTTATTACGCTTGAAACATAAAAATAAAATGTTATTTCGTCTATTTCTTGAAGCTGAGGTATATAATACATTTATATAAATGTATGCGTTTGATATTTTGATTGCTCTCATTTATTGTTTTGTGAAATGAAAAAAAAATGTATTTTTATATTCAAAGTAAATATTTCGCAACTAAACTTTAGTATTTATTTCTTTATAGCATTTTAAATATAAAAATAACACGTCATTTTTCCTAAATCATAAAGCTGGGGTTTAAAATAAATTAATATAAATTATAAATTCTTATTTCTCCCAATTGTAGTCTTTAAAAATGTAAAAAAAAATATATTTCTGTATTCAAAGTAAATGTTTTTGCTATTAAAATTTGTTATTTATTTTATTTTTTAAAAAAAATTCATCGTAGTTTTTTTTTATCTATTTTTATATTGCATTTTTAACACAAAAATAGCATGTTATTTTGACTGCATCTTGAAACTGGGGCTTATAAAAAAATTATAAAAGCGTATACGTTTAGTATTTTAATTACTTGTACTTATTGCTTTTAAAGATGCTAATAATAATAAATAATTTTGCAACCAAAATCTATTATTTATTTATTTAAAAAAATCTTTAGTAAACATTTTCATTATAGAATGTCAAAAAAGTGTGAAATTGCATAAAACAACTGTTTTTCTTATTCTTCTTAAAATTCTTCAAAAAACATTTTTGTATAACAGACATTTAGATAATATAATTTTAACCATGGTTATGGGAAGCATGTAATTGATAAAATTGTATGCATAACATGATAAAATTGTGTACATAATATGATAAAATTGTATGCATAACATGATAAAATTGTATACATAAAATTGTATAGGGTAAAATAATTCAGTTATTATCCCTATAATTTTTTTTTCCACCTCTCAAATGTTTTGATTCGAAATGTAATGTTTTATTTAGTTTATATGCGTGAATTTAAATGCGTGTTCCCCGTGCATGCGCGAAAACTTAGTAAAATTTAAAAAACCTTTAAAATAAAATAAAAATATATCTTATAGTATAAAGATTTATATACCTATATATATAATAATCTAATAAAAAGAAAATATTTCGCTTTACGGCTAATTCAAACTACGTAACTTTCGCTTTACAACCAAACATGATTCTTACAATTTTTATAACAATATTGTTAACAGAACTACAAATGTTTACACTTTGTTAAACTGATGTCCCATAAGAATGTCTTAATTAATTAGTAAATTCATGTATCTACGAAAGTTTGGAAATTATATGTAAACTTAAGTTAAGCTTCTTTCGCTTATTTCCTTATCAAAACATTAACTTACTAACATCATAGTAAAGTTGTTGCGTAAATATTAAATATTGGATATATTTTGTAGATTATAACATAATATATAAGCACATTTATCTTATATTCTTGAACAAGACGTCATTAATAATCTGCATATGAGTATCACAGATAAAGAATATAATCCAATTTTTATCCTTATTTTGGGAAAGCGCTCGCATATGCAGTCTAGAGCATATTGGCGTGTGTTAAACCCTAAATTTCTTATGCGACTTTTAAAATTTAGGGTGGTATTCCTTTACTGGACTAAAATTATATTATATGTCTTAACAAGTAGAACAACAAAAACAACTATACATATTTTTTGGTTTCTCCAGAATTACCAACAAGTGCTGCTATATATAGTTTGCATTGCTATATATATTTATTTAATTACAGTGATTCAGTGGTTTAACGGTAATTATTACTGTAAAAGCAGATTACGCAGATATTTGTTCCGTAACATGTGTCAGTAAAAGGGACTTTTATGGTAAAATGTATTGGCATCCTGAGTGCCATTACATTTTACCGTGATTTGATACGAAATTTTTTGCAGTGTAGCTTTGTAGGGTGCAAAATCAAACCTGCATTTGTTTGGTGTTAACGTGAATACCAGATTGCTACTTATCTCTTGGATATTTTAAAACTATCCCAACAGATGACTTGTTAGTGTAGTCCAACTTAAAATCTTGTTAAAATGAATTACAAGCTCAAGTTATAAATACGTAGAATGGTAAAGTTTAAAATTTAGATTGTTGTTGTTTTAATTTTTAAAATTTGTAAAATTAGCATTCAAAAATATATTTTATGGAAGCTTACACGAAAAATATTACTTTGCTAAGACATAACTGGAAACTATTACATCATATATAAACGGGCACTTGCATTTTATAATTCATATTTATTATGAAAAAAATTTCGATGACCTAGTTTTTTTGATAAGTTTGTTTATTAGATGACTTTAAGTCAGATGATTTTATTCAATCTGGTGTAGAGGCTGAAATCGTTATTTGAAAATGGAAAATAAGGACTAAAACTGAGCTAAAGAATTGTGCTTTAGAACTGAGTTAAAACTGAGCTTTTCCGCAGCAAATATAAAACATTACAAGCTAAACTGAGGATCAACCAAATCAAAATTATATAATTTGTTAGTTATTAAATTTGAAGAAAATTCAATCACAAATAATTCTGAAGAAGAATTTTTCAAAATTCTTTTCCAATACATAATTTTTCAATGAAGGAAAAAGTTTAATATCAATTCCTAGCAAAAACTTTTACATTTAACTCATTTGTTTCGGTTTCTCTATACAATAAGAGAAATATACAATGAACAATACTGTACTGCAAAAGAACTGTTGTAGAAGTTTTATAGAAATATGTAGAAGTACACAGAAAAAACGAACTGCTTATGCCTATTTTAAAATACAGCAAAAGGTTTATTTCTGCGATAATTTCACTTCAAACTTCTGTCAAAAAATCTGGTTCTATCACTTAATAATGCCATGTAATATCAATTGCGATGCAATAATCGGAGCATTTAAAAATATTATTAATGAATAATTGTCATTAAGATTTAAAATAAAAAAGAAATTTCCTTTTTCATTGAATATTAATCAATTTTTAATTTCAAAGAAGATATTAAGTTTCTTTTTCTATTGAGTTTCTGTTCGAAAAACCTTATTCAAATTATAAAATTGTTTTTTGTTTATAAAAAAAAGCTGAAAAAATATTAATGTTATCTAGATTACTTGTAAATATAGTAATCTAGAACATTTCTTATGAACAAAATGTTTCATAAAAAAATTCATAATCCTTTCCATGTTTCGTTAGTTGTCTAGGAAATAAACATTTTTTAGAAATGATTTCTTGTAATTAATACATTGTAATTGACTTAATAAGGTAAATATATTTGAATTCATACGCAATCCTAATACATTTTACTTCAGAATTAATTTAATGAGATTCAAAACTTAGAAGAATAAAAAATAAAAAATATAGATATTGGAAAAGGTTTATTCTTTAAATTGACAGCACTGAAACACGACACCAATTATAAAATGTTGTTTTTTTTGTTTATCATTTGTCTAATTCACACAATAAATTTTAAAAACAACAGTACGTTTCTGACAAAAACTTGCTCATTATCTCTTTTCTTTTTAGGAGAAAGACCCGCCGCAATTCAACATGATGCCAATATATCTACATCCTCTTCGTCCAGTCCGAGTTTTTCAGTTTTGTTCTTCCTTGTCTTGACAGCAATGGTTACGAGGTGACAACGCCATCTAGTGATGCCTGCTAGTACTACCGAGCTTTCGGCTCCAATCACACTTGAGAACGATCTGGAAGATTTAAGAAACATACATCCTTAAATTAAAAATATATATATATATATGTGGAATTAAATAGTTTCGACGTTTCGTGTCGAGTATTTTGATTGAAACAAATAATTTCGTCGAACGATTCCCGAATCAATTGAGCTGAAGAAACTATAGCTCTGTATTTGATCTTCTTTTTCATGAAAACTTTTTTTTCCCCTTTGGCATTGGAGACAAGACTAAAACATTCGTGTCGACAAGAGTCAAAGATTGGAGTTTAATCAAATAAAAACTAAATTTATAAATCAAGAATTCTTGCGAATACAATTTTTTTCTAAAAACATAAACCATAAGCAGTGTTGATAAAGTTTAAAGTGTATCATACTACAAAAGGTGAGAATTGTATGTATTCTTTCTACAAATAATTATCATAAACTACTTATATCCAAGTGGAACTTTTTTCACATTCTCTGCTTGGAAAATTGAAGCTTTCTTTTTACTACATATTTATCTTCAGCGTGTACTGGAACCTGTGCTATAATTTTTAGAGCATGAAGTACGTCTCCATACCGTATTACGCTACGAGGACAAAAAAATATAGTTTACAGTGTTGTTTCTTGTGTACAATACATAGAAGAAACAGTATTATTGAACGAAAAATATTTCATTAAAATCATGGATAAAACTGCATGAAGGAATTCCCACGTCGTTTGACGGAAATAACTGAAACGTTTAGTTTATTCACTTTATACAGGCGAATTTTTTATTCTTAATAAAAATGCAGCATCCCGCTTTGTATTAATGAGACAAGGGATCAAATATGAATTTTTGGAGTAATTTAGTTATATTCGTTCAAAAGTATATTTTGTGAGTCAGGTTTTTAAAACACCTTTGGGAAAACAATCTATGTTTATTCATGAAGTCTCGTGCATTTAAAAACACACTGCTTTTATTTGGATAAGTTTATTTATTTTTTTTAAAGTAAAATGTATATTTTTATTATTAACTGGGAATAGGGATCAAAGCATAAATATTTATATAGAACTCAAAAACAACATAGCATTTTTTGAAAACTAAAGTTAGTGCAGTTTACACAACAAAAAAAAAAGAATGTTCAAGGGTAAAAAACAGTTAAATTCTCAGAAAAAATATAAATATAATCTGGAATTGCTTCCAAATGTAGAATTCTGTGGGGTTAGGTTTAGGAATAATGCTGAGTTTTGTTTTGTTCTAAATATTGTTCTTTGTGACTAAATATAATTGTATAGACTAATTGGTTAAGATCTTCATTCGTTCCAAAAATATACAAATTGAAAAAGAAATAAGTGCCCATTTCAATACTTGCCAGATGTGAATGAGAAGAAGCAAAAGTGATTAGAAACATAAAATTTAAAGTTGCCAACGAAAAATATCAAATAAAGAGAAAAATCCTAACTAGAAAAACCACTGTAGCCGAGAGAGAGAAAAAGATGAAAAACAAAAAGAGAAAAGAAAAAAACTAGGGAAAATGAGTGCCTGTTTTTGAGAGATTGAAACACGTCGACTGTTATTTCTAATTTGTATAATTTTGAAGCAAGTGAAGCTTTTTATCAAGTAATATCTCATTGCTTAAATTTCTTGAGATTATTTATTTAATCATGGTACAAAGCGTGCTTAGTGAAATTTTTGGATTACTTGATTTAAGTGAATTCTAACTAACATGATTTCCAACTTCAAATAACATGTCGACTGTTTTTCTTTTTATTTTTATTTTTAAATAACTTCAAGAGGATTAATACTTTCAAAGATACACTAAAAGTTGTCTAAAAATATATCAAATTATTTATGCAACTGATTTCATCGTTTAAATTAATAGCATTTTTACTTTGTTTCGCTATTGAATAACATCAATAAAAAAATGTTTTCTGTTCTGAAAAATGCACAAGTCTTTGTTAAACTGAGTTAAGCAGCATTTCAGTAACTGATCTTTAAAATGTTCGTTTTTATAACTTATGTTTCGCTAATTCTCATTTTTCATTATTAGTTCATCGCGGGCATAACAAATTTTCTTGATTCAATTCCCACCGTACATAAAACGTTGTAATTTCCAAAAAGATTAAAGAAACATTTTAAATAACTGTCGCAACCTGATATACGTAAGATTTCACTTGCAAATTAAAGTAATTTTTAAGCTGATCTATTAGGGAAGCTAAATACTCCTAACTATTATTAAAATAAAAAAATAATAATTTTCAATGACAAAGGTTTACTATCGTCAAGAAGTAATATTAGAAATTGCAATAATAAATAATTATTGTAAGTAGTAAAAAATTCTTTGCACTGAGTAATAGTTTTTGTTTATAATGAAAAATACACCAATTTTTAAGTTTAATGATAAAGGTGAATTTCTGGAATTTAAACTATTATGGAAATATGAATTAACATATAAAAAATTTTATAAGAAACTGAAACTGTTCCTGAAAAAAACTTTATTTCATATTTTTTGTTTTCATGTTTCTTGTTTTCAAATCATTAATATCAATAATTATTTCCGAATCACTAAAATGGGTGCTACAGCTCTACTAACAATATTTTGTTTCTTAGTATTTTTTGTTTAATTTTTTTTCTCAAATTATGCATAAGACATTTTTTTTGATCACCATCTGTAAACATTCCTAACAGATAATATTAAAAATATTATTCAATATTGATCAACTACGAAATGATATTGATCAACTACAAAATGATAATGATTCTTATAAATATTGTATAAATTGTTATATAATGATATAAACTGTTGCTATTTGGTAAACTGTTATACATTATGTAAGTTGTTATGGAAGGTTTTATTAATTGCCATGAATTTTTTTCAATCTTAAATAGTTAAATTATACCATTTCAAAAAATAATTAAATAATAAAATTTTTAAGTACTTTTTTAATTAGTGTACATAAAACTAGTTTGTCTTTTTATTTAATTTTATAGTTATTTTATTGATTTATTTTTATTTATTTATTTATCAGCTATTTTTAGAAAAATTAATTCCAAATTATTAAAGGGAAATATAATTAAAGTTATTTAGTTAAAGTAATCAATTTAAACAAGCTTATCCAAGTTTTATTTTTCATCTCGGAATTATTCCCTTATAATAATAAATAAGTCCAGTAAAAATGTATGAGTATTTTAGGCCTATGCTTCGGAGAAAGAGCTTGTTTGTGCATAAAGCGTAAGTATGAGATAGGTAGAAAAAGATCTATGAGTGTAGGTTGCAGATTTGGATAATGGTGCTATTACTATTAGTGCTGAAATTGAAAACATTGCAAGACTGAGTAATTGAGTTTACGCTGTAGAAAGCGATGTAAACAATGTAGAAGTTTTTGTAAATGTGCATTGTAACAAATACAGAAAATAATCAAAATAAGGAAGCAATTTTTTCCTTATTTTGATTTATATTAACTATTGTATAATAAGTTTAAAGCAAAAGTCTCAAAATATTTACCTTATTATGTTCTTTGATTTCAAATAAACATTTAATAGGATGTATGTATACCGTTTGGCTAGGTGCTTGATTTTGTTTGAGTGATATGTGTTAGTAATCTTAAAAGCATTTTTATTTATTAAAAAAATAAAATTAGTGCAATGTAAATGTGTGCAAAGTGATTTTTTTTTGAAAAATAAACTGAAAACGAATTCAGCTTCAGATAAGTTTAACTTAATGGAATTACGTCTATCCAATAAGAATAACTGTAAACTTGCAATATTAAAATTAATGACTAAAAAATTCTTAGCATACATTCTATATTTATATGGGTATATATATTTTTTTTAATTTTAAACATTTAAATATAGAAAAAATAACCATGGTATACTTACTTACGTTTGATATGAATGTTAAACAGATGTCGGCAAAATAATTAAGTAAAAATAGAAGTTTGATTTTTTTTCTTAATTTAGATATATTTATTTAGCTCAAAAACTGATTGAAGCTCATACTAAAGTATAAAGTCTAGTGGGATTATGTTGCTTAGTTATAAATATACAGTACTGCCCAAAATTACAACAATTTTGATTTCTCTAATAATATTACGAAATGGCATTAACAAGAATTTAATTTTTTTTTAAACATGTTCCATTAACATTTCTATGTTGCATGTCTATTTTAATATTTTTCAATTCACCTTGACCAGGTAAAGACTGTTGATTTGGTAAATAGTTTAATTCGGAGTGACATGGATTTAGTATTTTTACATATACATTTCGAATTTATGTAAGGCGTTCCATAAAGACCACCCTTAATGTGCATGTTTTGTATCCTTATCAAAAATTACAACTGAACATTATACATATGGAGGAAAGCAAATTATAATTTGAGCAATGAAGAAATAAAAACTCTATCGAAATATGAAAAATTACACTAGAGGACACGAATTTATTAAAAATCAAAACAGGCTTAATTGGAGTTTGAAGCATGAAGGTGTTTCGAAAAAGCGTCTTTATTTCCTCCTCGTTTCCTCCCTCAAACAAATTCATATTGAGAATAGTCTTTATGGAGCACCCTATATTTACACGTAAATAAGTGCAAGGTAAATAGCTCATCATTATTTTTTTTTCAAATCAGAAATAGGCTTAGCAAATCTTATTCACCATAAAACAAACGAAACTGGTAATTTAATCTTAATTTTACATTTTACGAACATTGTTATATAAGTAAGACAAGCGCAAACTAACGTTCAGTCTCATTATGCAATTGTGATTTTTTTAATTGTACAATATTAGTAAAGTACTATTAAGTTTGTAATGGCATGCACTAAACATATGCATGCCATTACCAACTTTAAAATATAGTAGAAAAATAATTTACTATATAATAATTTGGCCTGTACTGTGCCTGTAAATATAATACTCCATTTTACTTTTTTTCTTTCATTTTTTTTGTTATATACTTTGTAAATAACACATTAGGAAGCGAAGAAATAAAAAAAAATTAATAATCGGATCTTAATGTGTTAATAGTTTAAAAGTATTATTTCCTAGAAATTAATATTTCAATCTTAAAAACTTTATAAAAAAGGAAATTATTTTATAATAATTTGGTCAGTACTGTGGATGTGAATATAATACTCATTTTGTTTAAGTTTTCACGATACATTTTACAAATAATAAATGACGAAATAAAAGTATTTATTTGCAGATAATATATTATCAAGTTTTTAGGACAAGCTACTCATATTGTTTTTTATTCATGTATAAATTGTTTATTGATCTTACAGAATATATATCAATAATGGCAATCTAAACATGTAACTTTCTTCATGCTCATTATATATCATGTAATATATTATTCATAAGTTGAATATATTGAAAGATAATATGTAAGCATTCTTCCAGTTTTAACTGTTCCTATATTAAGCCCCCATATGCATTTCAATTTTCACAACAAGTTTAACCCCAGTGTTCTGTAAAGCTCCAAACAAAATAACTGTAATTTCATTTGTTGACCCATCATTATGCTGCTACTGTACATAAATGCTTGACTTCAAATCTCTGTACATGAAGGTAGATTGTAATCTCTAAAATTATATTATAACTAAGCTATCACTGTGTTTAAGAAATGTAAAGGGAAATAAAAAAAATATTATAAAATATATTTGTCGAATATTTCATTTGAATTAATCATTTTAATTTGCTTCAAGTGAATTTCAAAAAATCGGAAAATAATGCACACTGTAAAAATTCAAATAATGCTGTAAACTATCAAATAACGGTCAAATAACGATGTAATGAAATAACAGTGTAAACTATCACTTTTGGTATCTCGTTCGTAAAATCTATTTTTACCGTCAAATATTATGCTACAATTTTTTTTGCAGTAATACTTATTTAATTAGTGACTTTACGGTAATTACGGCCATTCGATGACTTTATGGCAATTACTGTAAAAATTACGGCAACAAGTTTAACCCTAGTGTTCTGTAAAGCTCCAAACAAAATAACTGTAATTTCATTTGTTGACCCATCATTATGCTGCTACTGTACATAAATGCTTGACTTCAAATCTCTGTACATGAAGGTAGATTATAATCTCTAAAATTATATTATAATTAAGCTATCACTGTGCTTAAGAAATATAAAGGGAAATAAAAAAAATATTATAAAATATATTTGCCGAATATTTTATTTGAATTAATCTTTTAATTTGCTTCAAGTGAACTTCAAAAAATTGGAAAATAATGCACACTGTAAAATTTCAAATAACAGTGTAAACTATCAAATAACGGTGTAATCAAATAACAGTGTAAACCAGGGATGGCGAACCAATGGCACGCGTGCGACTTATGGCACGCGACGCAATATTTTGGGCACGCCACCGATCACAAAGTTCACTATGAAGCATATTAACAATTCAATTAAAATTCACAAAAAAGAACAATTAATGCCAAAAAAGCAATTAATAACCATAAATTACTAGCGAACAATAAATAACAAGCATAAAAAATTAACAGTTCTGCTTAAACTAACATCTTATAACCCTAATATAAGTTATTTGTTATCTATTCTGCAACAACAGAAGTCACACTGATGTTACTTTAAGTCGCATTACGCGTATAACTGAGACATTGCAAAAGTTGAGAATTGCATTTTTTCGTAGTAAATAAAGAGTTTTGAGTTGATAGTATTTAGTATTATTATTCACCCAATAATTACGAAGTCAAAACTATTTGTCGGCACGTCTATGACCTCATTAAAATATATTTTTAAAAAAATGGCACGTTGGTGCATGAAGGTTCGCCACCCCTGGTGTAAACTATCACTTTTGGTATCTCGTTCGTAAAATCTATTTTTACCGTCAAATATTATTTTATGTTCGTATTATGGCGGAAGGTGCTTTCTCCATCAGTGGCCGCCAATATTCGTATAGTGGAAAATGACTTTATACAGTCTCCAGGAAAGAATATACAAATTGTTTAGTGAAATTTAGATTTTATTGAGCATAATTTTTGCATGATAGAGAATGGCCATTTCTTAACAAAAAGGATCAAATCAGAATACTCTCTATTGAGAGATCATACAGCCAGAATATCATTTTCTGACGGGTTAGAAAATGAGACTGGGGAGGTGCGAAAGGGCACTCCCAGTCTTCACAAATTTGAAATTAAAAGTGAATATAATTATTCCTAACGGACATAGAAAGTATGGGTAGGAGATCCAAAATTGGTGAATTATCAAAATATACCATAGCGAAAACAAAACCAACCAGCATATCAATATTGGTTTTAAAAGGACACCTTGGCGATCACGAGTCGCCAACAAATTTATGAGAATTATTACAATCATGCAACCGAAACATTTAGCTGTTAGAAATCTGAAATAAAAAGTTATTAATATATTTTTG